TATTTCGAGCGCTACCATGTTTCCTGGGATCTACGGGTATCCCGGACCCAGTGGGTCTGCTCCGCTTGGCGCGCTCACTGCCACTCCCCTGGACGGGTACTCCTATGTCAACGAGTCTGCTGCCTCCAGTGGGGTCACCGAAGGGTTCGCCTCTGTGAATGAGCTTCCCACCCTCGGTGAATCCGCCGACATAGACTGGTTGGCTGGTGCTGACACGCGGCTGGGCTCGGGGGATCTGACGGCCCTGAACAAGATTGCTGAGGTTAGAGACATCGCCAATGGAAACTTCTTCGGATAGGAGGCTTCAACACCACCATCCCACACGGTCAGTTCTTCTGATTAGCGTTTTGGTATCTTATAAGTGTCGCAAGTAGCTTTTGCTGCATTCGGGAATTAAATGTTCGTATCTAGTGGCAACTATTTGCTCAGCCTTGTCCCTTAAATCGCTGTGAACAACACCTATACAGTTTATGAAAGGGTCTCGATGCTCGTGAGCCTGGCGAAACCGCGTCTCTCTATCTTAGAACTTGCACTCGTGTGATCAATCCTTGCGCTTTCTTGAGCATCTGATTCGCCGCCGCAGACACGTCATGCCGACTTTCGCACGTACTGGGGGCTTAACCGCTTTCTTGGGAACTAGTGCCTTTCTCAGAAGGAAGCTAACCAAACAGTCCGGCATTGGGATAGGTCGCCCCAAAGCGGCGCGCGATGTTTTAGGCTGCAACACCTGGATCCTAGCAGCCTGATGCGAGTTCTCCTCGAGAACCGGAATTTGTCAACGGGAATAGGTATTGCAGCAAAATCTATCTTCATTCGCTTAAATCCAATGGTAGACAACGGCCAGAAGCTTGAGACCGCCGAAGTATCCCTGTAATAAGCCAGCCTCCTTGCACTCACGTTGTCTCCGATGAATCCTCCAGCCCCAAACCCTTGAGAATGGCCGTGTTGTGGTCGCCCAACGCCAGCACCGGATCCATTCGCGCCTTCGGCCTATGAGATAAATAACGGTTTCACTCAATCAGGTGATTAATGCAGCAACGCAGTGGCAAAACACCGTTAGATTCCAAAAGAGCGTAGATAGATTGACCTTGATCCTGAAGAGCAGGAATTGTTGGAAAGGTCTAGCAGAAGTTTGTATTTCCAGAATAGTCTCATCAGCAAACTATTTTTCATTTCAAGGCCTAATTTGATGTCGTGGATGCCAACGGATGCCCGGATGACGTGCGTCCTATGTCCCTGTTTGGATGCTGCGGATACCCCATACAAAAACTGGATGCCACGTGGATGCTGCGGATGCTCCCATACAAAAACTGGATGCTGTGGATACATTGAATGAAATCAAGCCATCTATTTCAATTAATGCCTTCATAGGCATCTAAAGCATCTGCAATCGTTGCAAGATCTGGTGCAACCGCAAGATCTGATGCAGCCGCAAGATCTGATGCAGTCGTAAGATCTGGTGTGGTTGCATGGTCTGGTGCAGTCGTAAAATCTGGTGTTGTTGCAAGATCTGGTGTTGTTGCAAGATCTGGTACAAATAGCATTCAATTATACTATATATACAATTCAGCGCCTGTCCATACCGCTGTCCATAACTATCCAATCTATCCTCCATGTAACTACCTATACCTCCGGCTCTGGAGGAAAGTCGGCAACTGGGTTGCAGAACCGGATCAAGCACCAGGATGAAGCCTGGTCTCTGCTACTCAACTCCATGCAGCGCTCTATTATTATTTTTTGGAATTCATCCTCATTGTCAGGGTACGAAAGGATGAGGTGAAACTCTGTAATTCGTGATATACGAGAATCAATCTACGAAGGAGGAAGGAAGATCTAAGTACAAGCCGCTGTGCGAAGGAATGATAAGATGTTGAACGTTTTGGCGTGTCGTCAATCACGGAAGCAATGGAGGGTTTCTGCTAGGAATTGTGGGCACCTGGAAATTGCGTTTTGTGTAATATTCGACAGCGTAGCGTTGTTTATATGGCCATACCCAGTTAGCCAACCTAACCGCTAGATATTAGTTCATAAGCCGGCTAAATGCAGAGAGTTGACCTGAAAACGATTTCCAGGACCTGAAAATCGTTTCCAGGTCAATTTCCAGGATTTTCGCATCTCTCAACTGCCATATCCGACCTAGCGTATTCGTCAATCTTAACGTCAGATCCTGTCGCCTGCATAATGCCCAAGATCTGTAACCCAGAGTGTATCCCATCCTGAATTCCCTATCACCAAATCATCGCGTGCGATGCCTGCAGTCACCTCGGTATATGCGGAGGAGGAGCGGCTTGTCGAGGATCGGCGGAAGTGGCATACGCTTTCGGAGAGGTAGAATGCTATACTCATCAAGACCACTCCTGTTGCGTACGGCGCCTGCGTAGGATAAGCAAGATAAGTAGCACCACCGCGATTTTACGCTGGCGATCCATTTTAGGTAGTGAGAGGATCTGGGGATGGCTTCACTTTGCAGGACGAATGGGATATAAAAAGTAAGTTCTGTCGCCAAGGCGCCTTGAGCCAAAATGGCTAGTAAACCTTTGCTGACTCAGGAAATTTTCGTTGCGAGGTGCAATTTCCAGGTTCTCCATAATTGCTGGCAGAAACCCTCCAATGGAGGGTTTCTGCCAGGAATTGCGGGCACCTGGAAATTGCGTTTTGTGTAAGATTCGACAGCGTAGCGCGTTTTATTTGCCCATTACCAGTTAGCCAACCTAACCGCTAAAAACTAGTTCGTAAGCCGGCTAAATGCAGAGAGTTGACCTGAAAATCGTTTTCGGGTTAATTTCGCCCAATTTCCAGCTCGTTAATTGGCTGATCTGTTAGCATACCGTAAAACTACAAAAACAGAATCACGTGTGCTATCACGTGTCTAAATTTGAAGATAGAAGGGGTATAGCAGCACCGCTTAATCAGCCGGTTACAGCTGTCGAGCCTGATTTTTAGGTGTTCCACATATTCCTGGCAGAAACCCTCCAATAGGATACCTGATCAGAGGCAGTGAGATGCTTGGATTTCTGTAAGAAGTAGAATACAGAACGAGGTAGATATACCCATGACTAAGTAATAGCCGAAGCAGGGAAACGAATGACTAAGTAATCACATCAGATCTTGACACTACACTAGCCTTTTGTGATGCTTCTGTGAATATAACTCGAGCACTTTTTTTTTAGGGGAGATTCGAAAACCGCAAACTCTAGCTTCGTCCCTCCAGGCTCTCTTTCAGCGACCCGCTTGCGGGTTCGCATCTCTTGTTTACACGATCTCTACGAGTTGATGCCTCGTTCCCCCTCGGCACACCTCTAGTTTGAGCAGGAAACGGCTCGAGGATAGACTAGTGTGGCCTTGGGGATAGGTGTATTGCCTGTCCTTGCTCACGTCGATAGCGCCAATGATCGCCGTAGAGGCAACTTAGTAGTAATGTCGATCCCGAATTCCTTATATCTCGTATAGTATGACGACACGGAAGACCATTTGTCTTCTCAAATAGGCCAGAACAAGGATACCGTTCGCGATGTTGCCTCTGCTCCTTCTGGCGCAGCAGATCCTGCTGTCTAATACGTTCAGTTGCCGGTGGCGTGAGGATGTCATGAATGCCGGGCGGTAGGAATGGCATTGACTCTAGTGTATGCTCGAATTTGAGCGCTGTTTCGAAGATGCAAGGTCCTTCCTATATAGTACTTAGTGCGCGTGTCCCTTTTGGAGGCAACTTCGGTAGCACACGACGTTAATGCGGCACGATCTGATTTCAAAGCATCTACATTAATAATCAAGTATTACTCATTAGCTGTCGCCACTTGTGCTATCCACTAGTATATAAAGACATTCTCTGTAACGGCGGTGGGTGGGGAGGAGGCTAGGAAAGGTTTAGAAAGCGAGTACCATGATTGTAACTCTTCCAGATCTGCAGCCGAGAGCAACAACGCCTCCATAGACCGCAACTTTGGCTAATCGATATTCATGAGGAAGCCAAAGAATACGCTCGGTATTGTGACAAACCCATTCGTCGTTAACAAAGATAAGAGGTGGACCTTGTGGTTGGAGAGTAGGTGTATCGCCAGGGAGAGATAATGAAATAGGAAGTGACCCCCTGTTTGTTCGCAGAGAAGTGCTATCGTCAGAAAAAGAGAG